AAAAACATCTCCAATTAAGAAAATTTGGTTCGTCTTCCTCGTAAATAGAAATGATATGAAATGCTAACAAGTTGTATTCACAGGTGTTTTCGAGTACAAGGGTATCGACTTTGCTCATAATGTACGATCTTTGACTGTGTGACTACTAAGTCAAGTGACTAGCCCTAGGCCTCATGTGTTTATGTTTTGTTAGCCTATCCAGTCTTCGTTCCGAGCTCTAGAGATCTAATTTTTGATAATTTAAATCTTGCTGACAGTTTTTGAATAAAGATCTAACATGGAAGATTCTGGTGATGATGATGGAACAAACCAGTTCACTCAAATGACAAAAACACAACTGGTGGATTTTCTTGGAGCAAGAGGACTGAGCACCACAGGAACAAAACTTGCTCTCATAGGTCGGGCCTTTGTGGCGTGGGAAACTGGCGTGACGGTAAAGTCTTCAACAGAAACGTTTCAAAATCAGTTGAAAGAAGACTACAAGACAACCCTCAAGAAATTTAGTATTCCAGACCCAGTTTCATTGCCTCCTGATAGTTGGTCTGAAAAAGTTACGAAATGGCCACCGGTGGACATGGGGAAAATCTTCATGTACCTTCTTAGTACAAGTGAGTACAACAGAGACTATATAGGGAAGTACAAGACACAAAAGGCCTATTCCTATTTTGCCAGTAAGTTTGTTGGTACCATTCTGTGGGCACAAGTGCCAGATGACTGCGACAGATGTTTCCTGACATCGGAGGTAACACCGTCACAAAGCGTCAGAGGTGACACCCACAAACAGTGGATCTTGTTGCGAAACACAGGAGAAATCCTGACGTCGATGTGCAGCTGCACTGCTGGCATGTGCAGTACATGCAACCACGTTATTGCTGTGCTGTACAAAGTGGAGTTCGCTATCAGTAACCATCTGAACTCTGAATCCTGCACAGAGACAAGCTGTGCGTGGAATAAATGTACTAAGAAAACTGTTGAGCCGAAAAGAGTCGAGGAAATGGAACTCCGTTCTGACAGTGCCCCAAAGTACTCCTCTTCAGACACTGCATCGGAATCTCGGAAACGTAGACTGACGTTCGATCCACGTCGAGACGGTGAGAACAAAAAGAACCCTGAAGAAGTTGTGAATTTTCTGGAGGGTCTATCGACGTTTGCACCCAAGTGTGCCTTATTTTCTGGAATGGCAGCTCAACTTCAGACAAAAAGTTTAGAGCCGATATCGATGCCTCCAACCATGCTCCAAGCAGCGGAACAATGCATCGCCAAGAACAGCGGTTTGGATGACAAGGGATTGTCAGAGAAATTTGGTGAGTCTCTTGTGTACACTAGAGACCAGTGTAAGTTGTTAGAAGAGACAACAAGACAACAGGGATCATCAACAACTTGGCACAATCACAGGAAGGGGAGGATTACTGGAAGCAACATTAAGCGGGTTGTGAGGAAAATTGAAGAGCTCAACAGAAACGTTAATGCCGCAACCACCTCTCTGACACATCATCTTCTGTCAGGCGGGCCAGACTTGTCCCACATACCTGCCATTAAGTGGGGCAGAGACAGTGAAGAAAGTGGCCTTCAGGAATTTGAAGCTAGTATGCATTCTAATCATCTGAACGTCACCCTGAGAAGAGCTGGGCTCTACGTGAAGAGTACGCATCCGTATATTGGTGCCAGCCCTGATGCCGTCCTGCACTGTGACTGTCATGGTCTTAGTACTGTGGAATTGAAGTGTCCTTTCAAGTTGAAGGGAAAAAACATTGTAGACAACTATGCACAGACGGATTTTTTATGCAAAGGTGAAAACGGGGATCTGGAACTGAAACGTGACCATGCGTATTACTACCAGGTTCAGACACAGCTTGCCGTCACTGGGTTTACAGCAGGATTCTTTTGTGTGTCTTCTTTGGATGGCAAGCCATTTATCATACAAGTGTTAAGGGATGACAAGCTGTGGGAAGACATTCAGCAAAAACTAGTTGTGTTTTTTAAAGGGTATATTAGCAAGCACCTACTAGGCCTGAAAGAATTTTTATTCTGTCCAACTTGTGACAACCTGATTTTGGAACCAAGAGAATGTCAACAGGAGGGCGACAACAGTGTGTGTTGTGATTCTTGTAACCTGTGGCACCACTGGACCTGTCAGGACTATTCAAAAGACAAAGACACGTTCCTCTGCTCATTCTGCACAGGGGACAACATGGAATAACATCATGCAGCATACAACATTGACTGTACATACCATCTCAACAGCGACAAAGTAAGTTTATTTTATCTTTCTCAGGCTCTGTCCACTGAATGCATCACAATCACAATTTTACTCAACAGTAACAACAAACAGCAAAAACAACATTCCTCGTGTAGCTTTGTGTAATTTTTAAAGTTATCTTTATTGCATTGTTAGTTTTTGTTGACGATGGTACTTTTCTATAATTTATTATTTGGTTTGGTTTGGGTGTAATATTACCGTACATTGCTTGATTTCTCTATGCTGTCAGAGGATCCAGTAGGTTGCAGAATGCACTTTCATTGTAATTGTCATTTTGAAGTCTGCTCGTCCTTTCTGTATCTGCCTCTCCCATAATTTCCTTTTCTCCTCGTTTGAAACTCCAAACCATTGCATTTCAGTCACATGGGATCTCTTTTTAATCAATTGGGGTCTACTTCTTGTGTTACTGCATGAACCAACACAACAATGGTCGTACTTCCCCATCTTGCTACTAGACTAATGTTTCTAGAATCTAGATCTAAATCTAGTTTAAAATCTAAAATTCAATGAAAGAAACATCTATAGAACTAAGAAAGATTAGTCCTACATGATGGTATATCGCTAGATCTAGATCTATTAAATTACCAGAAATGTAGATTCCACAAAACAATGATTTCCTCACTGTTAGTCTAAAAAAATAATAACGAATGCCAATTCCATTTCACAAAATTACACTTATATAAAAACACACAGTACAGTCACATGATTAGTAGATCTTGGCCTGCGTGAGGCAAAGAGGGCAGCTGACAAAACACACTTTCAAAGGCAAACAACACACTTTCAAGGCAGTTTTTGCGTTTCTTATGCCTAACAACTGATACTAAAATGAGATTGTGCGTACGTTTGACTAGATCTAGACGTTAGATTGAATTTAGGCGCCGATTTAGTGTCCATGTGCCAACTGCCCAAGGCTGTTGACAATGTAAACAAAGGAGCATTGCAGACCGGAAGTAACCCTGAGTACCCCTGGACAGTATGGCGGACATTACCGTGAAGAGGTCTATTGCATTTATATAGCATTGATGGTGTAGCTTTGGTTGTACCTTTCCTTTTGGAAGCTGAGAGAAATTGAAGGCAGAAACTTGTTTAGAGTATTACCATGAATATCATGGGGTTACGTTTCAGAACTTCCAGCGACAGGGGAAAATCTGCAAAGTATGAAATAATTATTACACATTGTACACCTTTATAAACTCATTTTTAGAAACCCTCTTCCCATGTTCGAATAAATACTCTCTGTATTTAAAGAATGAAGGATCAACTGTATATGAAAAATAAAACATTTGAACATGCATGTATTTGTTTGTAACTTTACTTAAATTTGGTTGTATTTCAGCCGATTGTGTGTTCCTTGGTTTTCCTGTTTTTGGCTTGAAATATGAACTGCAATATGGCGAAGGAATACTTTAATAATGTTTGAAATTCTTTAATCTCAGTCAGTTGTGAGTCCTTTCCATTTTGTAACTCTCCCCGTTTTTCAATTTTCAGGTTCCAGCACTGACAAAGTCAGAGGTCCGGCCCCTCTGTCTGGGCATCCAAGCTGCGCTGAACTACCAGGTGGCCTGGAAGATTGTCAAACAAAAGACACAGTCTTCTTAGTCAACTCAACTGCTTAGAGACAGAGCAAGTTAAAGCTTTTTATTTTTATGTTCAATCCTCTAGCCGTTTCTTTTTTTTTACCCTATTGACCAGATTTTTTACAATTAGTATTTTTCTGTTTTATAAGTGTTAATTGAAATAAGTCATTTTTCTGCATTTAATTTGTTTTCGAGAATGTCCTAAGAACCTAGTCATGTTTTGTCTTTTAAGATGTACAAGGTAGCTGCTGTTCTGAGACATTTGACTCTCACACCTTCTCATCTTTATTAAATCAAAGAATGAGACCATCCACCTACAGGTCGGAGGTTTTCTTGATTTTTGTTTGCTAGAGGTGTTTGAAATCATTTTTATTACACATGCAGCTGTGAAATCTTTGTGAACATTTTAATTTCCAACAGAAAAACTTATGATGTGCGGTGATACTAACAATTACAGTGCTAACATCTCTTGCCAAAATACCTGGTTTGATTCCCAGTTAGGGCAAGTGCAGTTTTTTGAAAAATGTATTATTTTGTCAGGTTTTTTTTACCCCTGGCCCCAGTATAAAAGGATTATGTTCCTATTCTTCTCAACTGACTACTAAAACCTTTGAAATAAATTGTATGTCAGATGTGCTGTTAAAGTTAAAAGTGGAAGATGTGCTGGCTTGCCCTGGGTGGATTTTCACCCAAAGTTGTTGATTAGTCCCTGCGCAATAACGAAGGAACCCAGGTCAGTGAACTGAAGGTATCTTGGCATTCGTTTGAAAGCGGCTTTTAACTTTTAGCTAAGTTACAGGCAAGAGACATTACGTTTCAAGAGACAAAAAAGGACATCTGTAAAAATTCAATTGTTATGTGAGTTTCTAAATTTTCTTTGAGATCTAAAACAAGATTAAAAAACTGAAGAAAAAAATACACTTACTAATATGACTGTACACAATGCATTTTTTTATACTTTATTTATTTTTTATTTTTTTGTTACCCGTTTTACTTAAGTATTTCATGAAACATTCCAAAATGATCAGTTTGAGATACCCTTCATATACATATTTCGATGTTTACTTCAATTTCTTGCCTTACACGTGAAAGCTATTCTTGTTTTTTAAAAAGAATTACTTTAGTGCTGTGATATATGCTGAAGGCAAGGTAAAAGTTTCATC